GTAATCTGGGCTCATTCTGCTCCTGCCTCTCCTTTTCCTCCTCTGCTCGCTTACTCTGCTCTCTCTCTCAGCTGCCCCCCCCCTCCCCCCTCCTTCCTCTCATCCTCTAAAACCCTCCTGCTTTTTTCCCTCCCTCACTGTACACAGCATTAGTGAGGGACAGAGTGAAGGGGAGGGGTTGAGGGATCAGAGGGATAAAGCAAGTGTGTGTGTGTGTGTGTGTGTGTGTGTGTGTGTGTGTGTGTGTGTGTGTGTGTGTGTGTGTGTACCATGTGATGTGATGGTGTAGTAGGATTCCCCCAGCAGCTGTCAGACTCATTCCTTCATAGCGCTTCACTATGAGCTTCACACTCTTCAGTTGAGGACCAATGTTGGTGAGCAGGGATACTGACAACCAGCCGCTGCAAAGAGAAGCACTGAGGAGGAGTTATTGTCTTATGCTGTGGATTTAACAGTTATATCCATACTTTGTCAAGATGCTGTTAGAGATTTACACACCCTGACATGGTAAAATGTAAAAGGAAACAATTTGGGGAGATTTTAAAGCTCAATATTTTTATGTTAACCATGGACTATGATAAATGTGTAAAGGAGTCGCTTGTAGTGACAAACCCACAGAGAATTCCCACCAACTATCACATTCACGTCATTGCTTCCATTTCACAGCAATGTCTGCTAGTACTATTTGATGATGTTTGCCACAACACCTTTATAAGGCAGTGATATAATGTTGTTAGGGCAGCAGCATGTTAGATCTTAGATCTCATCTTAAAGAATAATAAGGTTTACCACATCTTGGATGTTAGCTAATTCTAAAGGCTAATTCTGCTCTCTGAGTGAACAGGAAGGTTTCTTGACACAATTGACATTTTCCACACATCACTTTTGTGTGTGCAGTTTATGGCACACTACAAATCCACGTTACTCTCCTCATAGACTCTCAGGTATACCCATTTGTTTTCTTCCTCCCGTCATCTTTCTATACAAATGGTTTTCCAGGTAGAAACGCATGTGTCAAATATGATACAGATAACTAATAGGAGGTTGGCCAAGACTACAAAACACTCAGTAGAGTGCATACCTCTGCCAAGGCAAAATATTATCGAAAATGCCCTCTCTTGCAAAGTTGAAAAACATGACAACAATTTCCTTGATCTGCCCCTTTAAGCAGATCCACACCAAAGTTCAACTAGTTCTTCCCTGGCCACGCCCATCCCTCCACCATGTTTGGTGTGAATCAGTTAAGTACTTTTTGTGTGGTGCTGCTGACAAAAAACAAATAGTCATGGGTGAAAACATAATCTCCAAGTGTTTCTTAAACTGATTTGCTAAATATTTTTCATAAAACCAAGCAGATAGTTTAATTCTTGAGTTTTAATGACTTCTTGCACACCAAAGTTATAACTTCATACTTCATACTTAATCATGGAAAAAGTTGCATTCTTTTTCTAATTTTGGGGTGAAATTGGTGTTTGAACAATGAAATCTGCATCTTTAGTGACAATAATGCATTGAGGCAATAGCATGCATTTTGCATTGTCCACATCTTACTATTACTTACTTACTTTACACAATTTTAGGTGCCATCACTGAGGTCAGCTGTACAACAAAACCTGTCGGATAAACAGATAAAGATGAGTGACAAGTACAGGCAACTAACAGTGAATGAAACACATCATACTCTTTTTGTCTTATCAAAAGTTGGTGAACCCACACTTTCTTTTTCTTTTGTTAAAAAATGGCAAGAAAAATGAAATCACAGACACATTCAGAGAGTAGATACAGATAGGGAATTGTACAATTTCATCTCTGACTTGATGTGCATCATTCTCTTGAGAAATTTCATAATACAAGTTTTTGCATTTGAATTTTGGTTCAGACCGCAGTTTACCATAACTTGTAGTAGAATTTATATACTACAATTAAGCAAATTGAAGGACGCAATTAAAGAAATTTATAAAATGGAGATAATAAATTACAGGATAGCGAAACGCTTTGACATAAGATGGAAGAGGATTCAGAAAACATATATTATGAAAAAATAACATTATTGATAAAAAAACAAATAAATAAGGGGAGGGGGAGGAGGAGGGAGATAGAGAGGGGATGGGGGAGGGGAGGACAGGGGGAGTGGATGGAGGAGAAAGGAATAAGAACAGCTATATAATTCAAAATGATTTAAACCTGTTTTTTTTCATTAGCTTTGTGTATTTTGTATTTTTTTTTAATTTTATTTCTTAAATATATTTATTTAATCAGCTAATATGTGTAGTGTATTTATGTACATATATATACTGTATATGTATATATATGTGTATATGTGTGTGCATGTATGTATGTACGGGCATATTTTTTATTTTTGTTGTGGGGTGGGGGGTGGGGAGATGTATGCTGTAGAGATGATGGAGTTGTTGGCTCCCTTTGTTTGGTGAAAGGTGACCACTGTAAGAAATAATAAATAAAGAGTATAAAAAAAGTTTTACTACTGGAATAATCCTTTAAGAGATCATTTTGGCCTTGTTACATTTGACTGGATTTCTCCAAGAAAATTCCCAGGAATTGTTCCCTCACTTGTTTTATCTTATCAGAGTGGGAAATTCTTTTAAAAAGCACTTTGACCATGGAATGCCATAACTTTATACCATAATCAAGGATATTGCTCCTAATATTAATATTTCTGCTTTTACAAATGAATCATAGTGTCCTTGTATGAATACTTAGGTGTCCACATAAACAACCATCTTTGCTGGGAAACACACTTTGATAATCTGTGCACTTTTTAATGCAATGGCAGCTGTATGGAGTAAGACACCAGATCATGCTGATGTTTTACTGGGCAATCCTCGACAGCATCATTAGATATGGAATTACAGCATGGTTTGGCAGCCTAACAATGTAACTGAAAAGCAGGCTTGCTAGTAGTATGCACAAAACAGCTACATAGATAAGAGGGAAGAAAGAATATGAGCCCTGGAGCCTGTAGGAGCAGGCAGTCATAAGACAAGGAACAAAAAATCATTGTGGACTCTTAACATCCCCTCTCCTCTGAATACAAGTGAAAATCAATTGTGATTTGTGACCAGTTAAACAATAATCAATCAGACTATATTATAGCAGATAGCTAATATTGTATGGACTAGACTTGAATAGTTAATTCTGAGTGTGAACTTTAGGTTTGGGTCATGCTCACATGTTCTTGAGGTCTATTTGATGCATCACTGCAACAAAAGGAAAGCAGCGGACAGAAATCACAGAATACTTACACACTAAAATCATTTTACCCATGAAACACATGAGAATCACAGTAACACATACACGTACACAAAGTCATTCTATCCTTGAGGAATGAGGAAAAGGACATCCTGTGGTGCTTCCCCTGAGCTGTATAGCTGGAAACTCCCAACCCACAACAACAGGAACGGGCAGGCTGGCTGACCACAGCGGCCCACTGTTCTCCCCTTCAGCCGTCACTCTGATTACTCCTGTTTGAACAGCAGCTTAGTGCTCACAGGCACATGGCCTAGTGAATGCACATCCACCACACTTATGCAATTAATGGCTTTTATACTAATTGTTTTTCTACTGAATTATTGGACACCATTAGATCTGAACACACCTATGCCTTTGACATGGATACCTTTGACATCCTTTGACATGGACACTTACTCAGTTTATCTGGGATCTATTCCGAGTTTACCAGGCTATTTGTTTTGTGGAACACAGCGTCATCTCAGATGCTTTAGATATGGAGTGACAATGTTACCCAGGACAGAAACTATGTAATTTGAATGGTGCCATCTGGCGGTGTACAATTCATGTACATGGACCTGAATCCCATAGTAATCCCTGGCTGCAGCACAAGGAAGAGGGAGGGGTTGGACCTCCAATGGGCAGAGCTAGAAATCCAATGGGCAGGGTGTGTAGATATCCCAATGACACAAACTGCATCATCTGCTGGACAACTGTAAGAACTACAAATACAAATCTGTACTCAACTAAATATATATAGACTACTGTCCATATAACGTAGATATATTGCTTGTCTCAATACCACATGCATATTTTTTATATTCAGTATTATATTGTATTGTAGTGTATTTAAGTTAATTATTTGATATTTATTTAAATAGCCTAACGTATTTATTCTTAATCAGTACTGTGCCTACTCATGTGTAGTCAATATAATTTGCTGATGCAATATTTTTATTCATTTCCAACTTTTTTTTCAATAACGCTCCTCAAAAGATGCAGTAATTTTGTTTTTCAACACATTCCTCTATGAACTTCACAAAGTCAAATTCAAATCTGGCAGGATGACATTACTTCCTAGGTTCTTCAAAGAGCTCCAGACACTGCCACACACTGTAAATGCAAACATGGTATTTAATTAAAAATAGTAAATTGACTTAAATCAGTTTTTATCAAATGCTAATAACACTCGCTTTTAGTAAGTGACTTGTAATTTGTGGTTGAAAAATCTCACCAGCTCAGTCTACTTGAGCTGGATTCATTTAGAAAAAGTACGTTTTTGATAATTGTGCTTTTTTTCTGTGTTGGAATGTAGCTAAGTACATTTACTCAATACTGCACTTAAGTACTTAAGTGCAGTATTGAGTAAATGTACCTTACTTGAGTTTTTTTTCTTTTCATATTACTTTCTACTTTTACTCCACTACATTTCAGAGGGAAATATTGTACTTTTTACATCACTGCATATTTAATAATACATACGTGATATATAATAATAATCACAAGAGCCATTTTCCTCCATTGAGTATGCTACTTTTACTTTTAATATTTGAAGTATTTCTTTTTGTGGTTATATGTTTTTACTTAATTGAAATTTTCACTGCAGGACCTGTACTTGTATTGTAACAGAGTAGTTTCACGGAGTGGTATTAGTACTTTTGCTTCGTTATGGATTTGAAAACTTCGTCCGCTTGTTTTTTTTTTTTTTCCGATCTGTGGGCATGCGCAGATCCGTCCTCTCTACGCTTGACGGTACATGTCAACAACATGCCCGCAACGGACGAGGTGGAGCTGGACCTTATTGAGCTGGACCTAATTACTGCAACGGGACTCGTGATTATTATTTTCAGCATTCTTGTGCTTGGCACACTCATTTGGTGAGTAATATTTTACCCTTGTTTAGACCGTTTTGTTTCTGTAAGTAAGCGCCATATTTTTCGTGCTTGCTAGTGATGTGTGTAGTAATGTCGGCTTACGCTGGCTGAACTATATTATGGACATAACGTGGCTAAATTTAGATGAAACTTGGTCAATACTTTATTAGTTTTTCAAACCACGACTTCCTTGGTGTTGAAAATAAGTAACATTAAAGACTTTTGTCACGTTAAAGTTGAGGAGAAACTTTAGTGTAACGGTCGTTACACCTGCTCGTCACGTGCACGCGCACACCCGCTGTCGGAGTTTTTTTTATTTTCTGAGGCCAGTAATTTATCGTGTACTGACTCACGATGAGAGATTAATCCCGGCGGTTCGTGAGTTTCCATGATCAGGAGGGCATTCACATGGCAGAACATCAGAACAAGTCTGGATGTATCATTTTATTTTAAGCTAGGCTGTTAAGGTAGGACTATGCTAACTTAGCTAACTTTAGCTACCAACAATAACAGTCTGTGCTTGTCAAAGACAGGACTACCACTGTGTGTCGACCTATGATTGGGGATATCACCACAGTCAACTAACTTAATGTTATTTTATTTAATCCTTCTCACTTAACACTAGTCGATATTCGTAGCTGTGCCGTTTCCATGGTAACCACATGTAGCGCGCCCAATGAGCGCGCCCACAGTTTACTCGCGCAGTGCTTGTCTGATCACACGAGGAGCGCAGTGAGAGATCAGACTCGGTACAGACAAAAGTGTCTCCCTGTCTGAAAAGATCTTTACTCAGTTTATCATAGCCTGTTATCATAGGGAACGTATGCTGGCATACTCAGTGGCCTAAATTATTCTTTAAGGTCATGTTGTCTAGAATAAGTACATTACAATACTGTCTTTGTGGGTAATAAGCCTATGTTACAGTTTTCACTTGTACTAGACACAAGATGTTTATGAGTTGTGGTGAGCTTTGGTTGTGTTAAATTGTTGTATTATTTTTAACTGTCCCCTTCCAGGCTCAGGCAGATGGTCATCAATCCACACATTCCATAATCCCAGCAATAAAAGGCATTTTCACCTAATAACTGTCTAGTTCATCAATCAAGTTCTAAATGAGATGATCCAGACCAACCTATTCTATTTCCTGTCTGACTTGTGCTTGTGCCTTGCAAATTACTCTGTTAACTGGTCTTTTCTCTCTCTGTGTATTATTAGACACCAGACGTGACAGTACTTCGCTCTGTCTTTGTGACGACTCCAGTGAATTCTTCAAGACATGCTCAGTAAGTACTTGCACATAAGAAAATGTTTGGTCTGCATTAAAATAGAACTATATCTGTGCTGACATAGAAGATGTAATTCTATCTGCATAATATACAATATACATTTTGTACAGTGATAGATGTATTTTGTATAGCAATTCCTCCACAGCTAATCTGAGAGGTATTTAAACAGCCAGTAAATAAAAATGAAATTTGCACATAAACGTTGTACACATTAATTCATTTTAAATCTAAGGAGCAGGAGTCTAGGTTGAAAAGTCAGTGTCACTGTTCAAGAATATATGGACCTTGTGGACCATAGCTTTAGTTTAACCATACCAAATTTATTTTGTTGGCTATATTGCAACAATCCAGTGTGAACACATATTTGTGTTGTGTCCATGCTGAAGAATGTGTGTCTGTCTTTGTAGGATACAGCGAGAGACAAGGCCCTAGAATGCATCACTGTTGGTGTGCTGACAGTTGTCAGTGAAGATCGTCCTCACGAGGGTCCAAGTTCAGTGGACCTCCAGCACATCTCCACTGCCATCATTCTGGAGGGAGGTATTGTCATGGATCGAATTAAAAACTTGCCTCAGGCAGTTTGTCTGTTATTTGGGCTTACATATGCTTTGCATTTGGATTACCCAAAATGCATGGCAAATACACTCAACTTCATTCAGACTGTGATGCTTGGACTGGAAAAGAAAAACCTCCCACCAAAACTGTTAACTCTGAAGAACAGTCTACTGGGTTAGACCAGTAAAGAGCCATCTTGGACTGATGCTCGCTTTGGGACACAAAAGCATTTGTTGTACTTTCAGTTTTGATCAGAAATGCAATGATTTTGCATGCACTGAAGTCCTGTAATTATCAGGTGTTTACCTGTTTAATATTGTGAGACTGTTACATGCATAGAATTAGCTCACAAAAATGTGGTTTTATTTTTGCCTTGTCCATGTCATGTTCTACAGTCAAATCAAACCACAAGTTTGTTGTTTAGCTGCTGTTTTGTACTTGAATGTACAAGAAAGTGATACTTGGGAACAGAACACTTGAGGCTGAATAATAGATTTAATGCATATCGTTATTACAATAGCCTTAAACAGACATAGATCACACTATGAGCAATTTTACAATTAGCTTTAAAATACATTAAATATGACAGGATGGAGAACAGTAATTTTATTGATTATTGTAAGGTTATTACATGAGTAATAAAACACACATTTTATATTGGAGAATTGGAATCAAAAGTAATAACAATATCAAATCTTTATTGTTCAGCCTAGATCTGTCAATGATGCAATTATTATTTTTTTAATAAATGTTGTAATGCAGCTGAATCAACCCAGTGAGTGTTCTTTTAAAGTATATTTTTGTGGTGTTTTTGCCTTTATTAGGTAATAACAGCTAAAATAGATAAGAAATGGGAGAGAGAGAGAAGAAGGACAAGGACCCATTCAAGGTAATTGGTTTGTTTAATTTAAGTGAACTTGAAAAATGAGTGAGTAGTAAGTTGTAGGTATTTAGTAATTCTAAGTGGGGTTAAATTTGTATCAAGTAGTCCACACAAAATGAAAAAATTAAGTTAACACTAAGCATGGCTATTAAGTTACATTAACTTTTTTTTTTTAAGTTGTACTACTTGATTTAGTACTGCACACTTAAAATAAACAAGCTTTTCTAACTCACTAATCTTAAGATTACTTTGCTTAATTTTTTTGAGGCAACGAGTTTGCATACTTTTTTTAAGTAAGGTCAACTAATTAGATTTTACAGTGCAGCACCAATTTTAAAGGGGTGCTTCTCCTACAGACAGAACAGGAATAACTCATGCATTGCTGCTACCCTGTGCATTTACCTGGAGGAATATTTTATTATTTTTGTAGTGCTGCGTCTGAGTTCCAGAGAGGCTTTGAAAGTGTAATTATGACAAGCACAAACTTTGAAACACTGTCTGAATAGATAGATAACTACTTTATTTATCCCCTAGGGGATATTCATGTGTCCATTAGCTCATTGTTGATAATAATAATAATAATAACAATAATAATAATAATTATTACTCACATGCTGCTGCCTCAGCAGATTGCAGCATAAAAAAGTACACTGGCCACCACTGACTGATAAACATGTACAGCATTTCACTGCAGACGTCAAAGGACCTGAGCCTCCTGAGGAAAAAGAGCCGGCTCTGCCCCTTCCAGTAGATGGCATCCGTTTTAAGGAACCAGTCCAGTTTACTGTCCAGGTGCACACATAAGCATTGTCAGTGGTACAAAATCAATTTTTACCATGATTTTCTACCAGTCAAACAGCAGAAAGTACTGAAAATTTCAGGTAAAGTACAATAAATAACATATCACATACTCCATCCTTGTCTTCAGAGCTGGGAAGAAGCCTTTCTTCTGTGGTCGTCCTCCCTGCCAATGCATCCTCATTCTGGAAGACACCAAAGAAAAGTAATTACTACTGCATGGTAAAGCAATTGTGTATGGCTGTGAAGCACATCCTTGGAGTTTTTAAGTAGATTGTGAAATTGCAATTTATGTACCCATCCTAAGTCTCTGCATTCCACGACTTTACTTCTTTCGGATGGGTTATCGTGCAATATCAAATGCATGTAAGAGTCATTGATCTCTGCATGAGGGGTACTTAAATATTCATCCCATTCAACAAGGACTTGCTTTTAAGTGCAATATAGATGCTCTGGGTGGCCCAGGATGTGTAAAAATATATTAGAAGAAAGTACCAAATACTATGATACCTAACACTCCATGATAACTTGAGTTATATAAGTTGTGTGTGCACGCGCCCCCTGTAAGTCTCTGACCTGGAGGACCCTGAGCAGTCCCCTTTCTCAGGGACTCGCTGAGCTATTTTTCCAGACTTCCATGGAGGCCGCAAAGGACATCATGCCTCCCGTTGCCACAGGAAGACTCAGCTGCCCAGCTCTGCATGGGCTCTGTGGTCCAGCTACCAGCCCAAGCCTCAATCCCCCCCAGCCAGCACCCCAGTCAGTCCCCAGGCTTCTGTGCACGTTGGCTGACCCCTGTCAAACTTTCCTGGGAGGTTTCTAAAGGTCGGAGCCCTTGGAAAGAAATGCAGGTCACAGAGATGCCAGTCCCCCAAGCAGCCTCAGTCCCAGGTCTCAAACTACCAGCCCTGGGTCTCCAGCTGCCTGCCCAAGCCACAACCCCAAATCTTCAGCCTTCAGCTTCCAGTCCGAGCCTTGGCCTCAGGTGTCCAGCTTCCAGCCCGAGCCTTGGCCTTAGGTGTCCAGCTTCCAGCCCAAGCCTCGGCCTCAGGTGTCCATCTTCCAGCCCGAGCCTCAGCCTAAGGTATCCAGCACCCTGCCAGAGCCACAGCCCCAGCTACCCTACTGTCCTGATGTTGGGACTTTATTTGATGGAAGTCAAGTTCATTTCATTAAGCACTAAAGAGTTAATAATTAATTGGAATGTATAATTTAATATTACAGGTACAACACTTAAATGTGATAAATATTGATTTTTTTAAAAAGAAGACTACATTTTTTTTTATTCATTTGTGAAGTAATATAGAACAGGAATAAGTAAAAAAAAAAATGTTTATGATTAAAAACTTCATTACCCATAATGCTATGGGCAGAAGCAGGAAATGGAAGTTCATGCTACTATTAAGTTAAAGTTATGTGAAGTTAAAGGCAGTTAGCCTATCCACTGTTCACTGAAGCTGTATTTTTCTTATCAAGAGCCATGTAACTTTGATTGACTCAACGTTTGAGCTGAACGTCAGGCATCACATGGCTATATGTGAAGGAAATTAAGCTTTTGCTGACCCACCTACAAATACAGAAAATACTGAAACTGTGATTTACTCAGTGATTCCCCAAGCAGAGAAGATGAAGCCAGATAGCGAAAACACTGTTTTGCTACAAACTGCTAAGGCATGTGTGGCAGGCCCTGCGGGAAGAAAAATAGGTGTTCTTTTGTAAGAGTTGAGCAAATCCTCACATGGACCCTGAGCAAAATCGTCAATTGAAGCCATTTCACCACCTAGGGGTGCATTTTTCAGCACTTACTACTCAATAAATCAACACACAACAGGTAGGCCAAAACTACAAACCAAGACAAAATTTTCCACCACTGCACAACAGTTAACAGGCTGCTTTAAATATGGAACTCATCCCTCTGGCTAACTGTCTAACCAATACTAGCTGATTCACTCAACCCTAGTAACATTTTTTTTTTTTTTTTTAATTTCAGTTTGAAATCTAACTGACTCCACATTACATATATTCTAATTGATGGATTTAAGCTCATTGTGATTGGTGGATTACCTTTAACCAGAAAAACCTAGGGGGGCAGGCAGACAGAGCATTGTCAGCATGGCAACCTCTAAGTTGAGGGAGGGGGCGCACATCTGGGTCAAATTGCCTGATTAGAGACTTGTCTGATATCTGTGGTGTTTATCAACCACTTTACTGACATTTCTGTCAAAATCCCGCTACAGACTGCGCCAACACTAAATACAGACAATGAATTACACACCTCAACTGTCTTCACTGGAAATATGCTTCTGTCCAGCAATCGTCAGGAACCATTCGGCAGTTAATTTCAGTTTGTCATTGTAACTGACACAGAAACACACATAAATACAGAGAAGCAGACAGGTATACAGATAGGTAAACAGGTAGACAGACAGGCAGATAGATAGAGACACACACACACACCAACCACCATCACCACTCCCACCCTTCACCCCCGCCACCCCATTTTTATCACTGAAGGTAGGCAAAATAACAGAAACACCCCTGTAATATACACTACATCCTCCACAGGGATCAATTGAATCAACAACTGTCTAAAACTATTTTAATGATAAATTGCCAACCGAGTATATTAGGAATTATCAGGTGTATGCTCAGGCTCCAAAGTACTTAACTACTATTTATTGGTTGTTTTCATTGCTGTTCTCACCAGGGAACTGATATATCGGGTAACCTAAAGATATTCTTTAATTTTATAGTTTTATCATATATCATTATTATCACCATATAACATGTTTTACCCCTCCCTCCCCATTTTCAAATGTAACGCGGTAACACCTTTACTGGGAAATATTTTAAGTGTGGTGTAAGACATAAGTGTGGTGTCCCATCTCCAGTCAGTTTCTGTTACTGGTAGAGCTTATTGCTGCTCTTTCTGAACACAGTTAATGTTACTGTTTTCTTCATCACAGTGTCTAACTACCTGCTGTACATTTCAACTTATACTAGTTCTGCTCCAGCACTCAGAGCTCTCTGCTCCTTTTAGTGACTTTCACTAACTCAGCAGTTGGTTACATGCTGTTCAGATCTGCTAGGTACTTTAGCAAAGACCCCAAGGGTGCTGCCATGGGCTAGCAATCCATGGTAGCAGTGGCGAGGCCTAGCATCTTTGTCACAGCCAGCATAAGCTACGTCAGATATAAGGAAAATACCCCAAGGGTCAGCGAGAGCAGGGGTGGAAGATGACCCACAGGCAGACTACACGGCAACAGACACTGGAACGGACATGACTATGACTTGGATATGCGACTCAGTGAAGGATAGGGGCACGGACCTATTCTCTAGGACTAGAACTGGGCAGAATAGTTCTCAGGGTGACGTGAGCGTAGCTGGAGAGAATAAAAATGTTAGACTAGAGGGAAATAAGCTCCAGATTTGTCCTTGTGGCTGGCAGAAAGTAACGTCAGTTAGAGGCCTTAGAATGCATCAGGGAAGAAAGAGATGTGTTGCAAAGGAAAGGCAGTGTGGCCGCATCGATCGATACTTTTTAAGAAGTCAATCGAATAAGTCGGATGAAGTCCAGCGACAGGTAGAAAGCCACAGTTCGAAGGATATCAACAACACAGCTACAGAGGGGGAAGAGGAGACGACAAGAGGGGATGCAGCTGAGACTGAGGTGAATAGGCCAGTCAGAGAGAGAAATATGGAGCAGAAAACTAGAGTTAAATGGCCGAGGGCAAATAGCAAGAAAGAATGGGAGTCAGTCAATAGAGATTTGTCAGTAATTTTAAGCAGACTAGGAGGAAATGCAAGCGATAGACTAGAGAAGATGGGAGATATAATTTACTCCTATGGTGCAGAAAGATTTGGGGTGCAAGACAGAAAGAGGGTTGAAAGAGTACAGTTAGTTAAGTCTAGACGGCAAAGGGAAATGGAGAAATTAGTTAAGGAAAGAAGACAATTAAGAAAGCAGTGGAAAAGGGCAACAGAGGAAGAGAGGGGGGGAATTGATGTGTTGCAAGAAGATTTGAGAGGCAGGCTAGCAGTACTTAGAAGGGCTGAATATCTTAGGAAAAAGAGAAAGAAGAAAGAATATGTAAAGACAGCGTTTTACAGGGACCCTTTCAAGTTTGTTAAAGGATTGTTTAACCAGGAAAAGGGAGGACAGCTTAAGGCAACAAAGTTAGAAGTGGAAAAGTATTTAAGAATCACGTATTCAGATTTGGAGCAGAATAGAATAGTAGGCCTTCCACCTGACATGCCACCATTAGGAAAGATAGATCATGAGATGGATGTTAGACCACCCACGTGGAAGGAGGTTGAGGAGGTAGTCAGGCGTGCAAAGGCTTCTTCGGCCCCAGGGCCAAATGGAGTCCCCTACCGGGTTTATAAAAGCGCACCTG